AGAAGACTGGAAGTAGTGCTGTGGTTCAAAGTGGTAGAGCACTAGCCTTGAGCAAAAGAGCTCAGGGACAGTGTCCACACCCTAAATCGAAGCCTCATGACTGACCAAAAGAAAGACAAAAAGAAAGATAAATTTACCTTTTGTGTAGCTTTTAGAGCCATACTTATGTTTCACAAACTCAAAAAAAAAAAAAAAAGAAAAAAAATCAACTATGGGTCTTTTGTAAATTAAATGAACCTACTACTATCAACAAAATATTTTCAACCATAACTGAAAGATGCAAAGAAAGGACTAATTTCCGAAAACTGCAGTTTGATTGTGTATGAAAAGATATTATATAGGGGCTAGTCTGAAGTATTTGTTAATAAGGAAAAAAGAGGGCTGTACTGGAATTAAATGAACTCAATTTTTTGCTCAGACAGGTTCTTCATATATTGCCAGGGCTGGGTTTGGATCCTCAATTTTCCTGCCTCAGTTCATGAGTTTGAATATATACAGAAGAATAATGAAATAGATGTGTGTGGTGTATGGATATATGAATGTACATACATGACTTTCCCAGCTTTATCAACTGAAAATTCCTAGAACCAATGGCACAAGTAGCAATGAGCTTAACTAGTACTCAGACCTTGGTTTATAAACAGTTCTCCAATAAACATGAGTCAAGGCTTGAGCAGGCAAAATACAAAATGAGCCTGGAACATGTTCTTGGTGCCAAAATGCAAATATCCAAATGTGGAAGAAGCATTTTTGAAAAGATACAGGAGCTAAAGGAGCCCAAAGCACAGACCATTGAAGCAACTAAATACTAACAATAGACTATGATCATAGTCATAACATTAGTACAGATCAATTTTGATATAATTGAATGAACAGGTGAACAGAGAAAATATAGCTCATCTTACAATTCCAATTAATAAATGTAAAAAAGCACCATTCAGTAAACAACACAACAATAATTCATAGGGAAAATGCTGTATCAGTTAATAAAATTGTAGAGAAAAGTAATGAGCAACAGAAAGGAGTATCTGCATAGTACCTCCCAATGAGATACCTGAAGGGGAAAATCACTAAATTTAGAGGAAAAAACTGAGACACCACCTCAACCAAGTGAACTAACTAGATAAAAAGATACATCAACATCATAAACCCTCTGATACAAGCACTGAGAAGGGCCTAGTATCACTTCCATTGGGCTGGGATGTAGCTCAGTGGCCAAGCACTTGCCTAGCAAGTGCAACGTCCTGGGTTCGATCGCCAGTACCAAAAAAGAAAAGACAAAAAAAAAAGTTAAAAAAAAAACCAAAGAAACAAAAAGAAAACATTTAGGCAAGTATTACACAGACACACACACAAACACACACAAAAAAAACCTTGCCAATATGCTAGAGTCAAAACTATATAAGAGTAGAGGAGCCAGGTGCTGGTGGCTCACGCCTGTAATCCTAGCTACTCAGGAGGCTGAGATCTGAGGATCGCAGTTCAAAGCCAGCCCGGGCAGGAGAGACCATGAGACTCCTATCTCCAATAAACCACCAGAAAACCGGAAGTGGCGCTGTAGCTCAAGTGGTAGAGCGCTCGCCTTGAGCTGAAGAGCTGAG